TGGATGATCTCTACTTCACTGGACGGGAGCTAAACATTCTGTTTATTTATTTGTTCACATTCCACTTGGTTGGTGGTCATGGGACTGAAAGTCAAACATTGATGCTCCTGTCCGAGACAGACTGTGGGAGCAGGGGATTTTCTCTTCTGTAAACTTGAGGGCTGGATCCTCGGTGACTCCTAATTTTACTTTCAGAGCGAAAATTTGTCCTAAATAGGAAATAGTGACAACCAAATACCAGACGGTTGCAACCCTTTCACACATACCAATCGCTTTCATTCTGCCTGATTTCTTCTTCAATAATCCGCTGTGAGGCCATCTCCATGCAACACAGGGGACAACTGTGTTCACTGAGGTGGCGTGACTAGCTCAGGGTCTTCTTCCTACACGTGCACAAGGTAGTCCAATTCAACCCTAGGTTTGCTGCTCCCCGAACTCCATGCTCTTTCTGTTATACTCCTTTTATTTAAAATAACAAAAACGGATTGGAAAGGCTATATAAAACTCACACACAGAAAACTTGAACTAGACTTTCTTTTCATAGACCGAGGGCTGGGAAGCACCCAGATGACAAGTCACACATTCAGGAGGCTGTGCTGCCAGCTGGAGAGATGGCTAAGCAATGAACAGGTCCCAGACCACAGAGTCCCAGTGTAGGAGCATCTGGACGTTCATCGAGGGGTCCAAGCACCGTTGTCTTAAAGCTCAATTCGGTCAAGTGAACTTGGTGGCTTTAATTTTTCTCTGAGAAGAAGCCAGTTTGGAAAAGATATTTATCACCCCCTCCCCCTCCCTTGTTTCCATTTCCTGAATACACAGTGCAGAGCTGCGAGCCTCCCGTTTTTGCCAAGGAAATGTGTCTAGAGCAGGGGTTCTCGAACTTGGTGTGCATTGGAATCACTGGGGGCTTATTAAGGCAGATTGCTGGGCACTGGGGTGGGGCCCAGAGGATCTGCTTTTGCAACAAGTCCCCAGGTACGGCTGATGCTGCTGGTCTGTCAATCATGCTTGAGGTCAATCCCTCCTCGAGATGCTCATGATGATTGTCCTACCTTCTTACGAGGAGACAGGCAGCTCTCTTCCCACCCCCCATGCACACCTAGAGTCACACAAGTACAAGTGGGGGTGTTTTGCTCACCATTGCAACAGCGGAGAAATGATGAAGTGTGTGAATGTGGCCTCAAATCTTCCCAAGGCACGAGAGGAGGTGCACATTGTGGGGGTCTGTGAAGGGGAGACATTCGGGGGGAACATCTGGACTGTTTCTCTGCTGTCTCCCAATATGAGCCAAGATGGGCCCAGAAGCAGCAGTTAGATGTTTATAAACATTCCTTACAGGTAAATTTGAAGATGGTTCAAGTTCTCAGGTGATAAACACGAGGGTGTATGTGTATATATGCATGTATGTGTGTTTGTATACATATCATCTATTATCCAAACCTACCCCCCTTTGAGAGCAAAGGGATCATTGAAGGCAGACAAGGATGCAAGTGTAGGATCAGCCCACTTATAAAGACCCCAGAGAGAAGCAAGAGAAGGTACGTATGTCGGTTCTTGCTTTATGCAGCCATCTCATGTCTACTGAGTTCTGTATCTCAGCTTTGTAAGTCAAGAGCTCTCAGTAGGTGTTTGAGGGAAGGTTCTTCTCCCTCTAATTTTCAACTAACCTGCAATATGAAGGGGCAAGGCATTTTCCCAGAAGGCCAGAAGCTGATTTTGCTCACTCATTTATTCTAATCCCTTGGAGTCATAAGCAGCTTTTACACTGGTACCAAGCCCATGGACAGGGGCAATCCTGGCTTGTTTTGACACAGGCTTTCCTTGACATGGGCAAGGCATTGAGCTGGGCATCAAAGGCCGACTCGGATGCCCATTGGTGGTTAAACATCACCCAGGGGCCTCCATAAAGCCTTGCTTCAGACTTCAGCCCAGATGAGCATGTCAGCCTTCCCCCACCAGTGGATCGCCCCTGGAAGGGGCGCCGTGAGCAGATCCCTCCTTAACCACTGGCAGCGAAGACAGAAATGGCCCAGAGAAGCAGTTTACATGATCCACATAGTTTGTTGTGCCGATATGTAAACATTTGTTGTGCCGATATGTAAACATTGGGGGTTTTCATATTAAACAAAATAAAAAAAAAGAGAATCCAGCACCACCACCAGGACCGTCTTGTAAAGGAGAGGAGGCGAGGAAGAGCTGGAGAAGAAAGTGGTCTGGACGTCACGGCTGTTGAGACAACAGGCAAGAAAACACCCTTTTGTCAAGAAGAAACATTAGAATTTTACTAGGCACACGAGTACCAGACAGACTGCAAGGTGTTGGGAAGGGGAAGGACTAAATTAGTGAGTACAGGACTAAACATTAGACTAGGCTTCAAAATTAGTATCTACTTAAAGAGAGTGGCCCTAGTCGGTTTGGCTCAGTGGGTAGAACGCTGGCCTGCAGACCTAAGGGTCCCAAGTTCAATTCCAGTCAAGGGCAGGGGCCTCGGTTGCAGGCTCCTCCAGAGCCCGGTTTCCCACTAGTAGTTGGGGCGCATGCAGGAAGCAACCAATCCATGTGTTTCTCTCACATCGATATTTGTCTTTCCCTTTCCTTTCCACTCTCTCTAAAAATCAATGGAAAAATATCCTCGGGTGAGGATTAAAAATAATAATAGAGAGAGTGGTCATAAAAGTTAGAATTTTGGTATAAGGAAAGGTCATGTTTGGGGACAGCAAGAGAGTTGCTAAAGCAAAAAAAAAAAAAAAAAAAAAAAAAATTGAGTGAGTGGGCCAAAGGGTGAAGGCATAGTTACGGTAATGACATCCCAGAGGAAGTCAGAGGGGTTCGAGTCCAAAGTTCAGGGAGAGAGGCTGGCAGAGAGCCATGCAGTGGTCTCGGGTGTTAGGTTGCCAGGCACCCAAAGGTCACAGGCAGCATCACTGGGCACGTGTTGACCAGCCCTGCCAGGGTTCGCTCACTTGAGAGAAGGCTGCATCTGAGTGCTTTATAAGGATCCACAGAAAACAGTGCTTTAATAACATGCTTGCCTTACTTAAACTAATATTTTTGAGCAATTACTATGAATTAGTAGGAAACCCTGAACACTTCAGTACATATTTTCATAAACTTTATAAAACTATGACAGAAGCACCGAGTGTAATGGAGTTTTTATAGACACCCAAAGAACGTATCTGTGACGTGAACATTTATCTTCTAAGTGGAGCAACAGCTGAGACGTAGCTATATACCTACCTCCCCGGTGCTTGATCACCGTTCCAGAGCTCTGAGTCGGTAATAAAGCACTCACTGAAGGCTCGTAAATTTATGTAAGAGTAAGAGAGTTTCTTCTAATGCATTTTAATAAAGTTGTGTGTGAAGTCAAACGAGACATTGTTTGTATAATGAATACATGTAGGGACTTTTAACTACAAATGCAGACATCAAGAA